TGCTTATTTTCGGATATTACATAAAATTTGATGGTGCTTAATTTCGGGGGGTGCTTAATTTCGGAACTATACGGTATTTCTAATTCCCTAAAGATAATTTAATCAGATTTTCAGTGGAATATTCCAGATGATAGACAGTAACCAAATATATCAATCATTGTCTCCCCTTATTCTATTTAAGTAAATACTAAAAAAGGAAATCCCAAACGAGGTAATTCTTTATACAGCCTGTAATATGAAAATATTTACGAATTTATAACCTTTTCAGGTTTCCTACAATTATTATTACGTACAATATGTGCATGTGCGCCAGATTTACCCGATTATTATTTATTAGGAGAATATTTCTTTAAAAAAGTCAATTATTCATATGCAGTGACACTTAATTAATAACGATTTGGAAATTGGATGTTTTGTAAATAATGCGTATTTGCTAAGGCTTGACACAAATAATAGAAACTATTTTTCTCATGTAAACTTATTTGTTTATTGTTCGAATTTTTCCTGTTCTGACGCAAGAATAAGAGAAAAACGGGAAATGAAAAAAAAAATCAAATGTATCAGATTTTGCCGGAATTTGCTGTTTCAAAATAACAATAATAATAAATAAATAAATAAGTATAAATAAATAAATAAATAAAGAGAATTGTTAATTTTGACTGGGGAAAATTCAAAGCGCATTAAGTAATTAGGGTTAGGTATTCTAAGTAAAAATGTTCAACGCCCCCGAAAACCAAACCTTAACTAATTCTAACTATTCGAACTATTATGCCTATCCTCTCTATTTGTTTAAAGCCGCACCCTAAACATAAGACAAAGGAAGGGTGGTCCAGTTAAATGAAGTAGTTTTCAATATAACGTAATACGACGTCCTCTGACGATCACATCAGGAGGTTTCATTAAAAGAAAAAAAAAATAACAGACTATGCCAGTGTCAAGAAAAAAAAAAATATATAGACTTTGCCAGAGTCAAGAAAAAAAAAATTACCGATTTTGCCATCAAAAAAAAAAAAAAGGAAAACGAAGAAGAAAAAAAAAATGCATAACCAAATGTATTTAAATAGAAATACTGTATAACACTTAAATTAAATTCATAAACTAGATTACTTAAAATAATTAGGTGCATATATTCAATATTATTAACAACATATATAATCAAGGGATTTTAAAATTAATTAATTGGCTATTATATAATACCCGGAATTTTCCACGAGTAGGTATAATACGATTTGAATTAGCGGAGGCAAATTGTTGTGAAATAGATGACGTATCATCATGCATAACTGATGCTAAGTTGCCTAAAACATTATGGAGTTCAGTAGCCCTTGGACGTTTATTTGGGTCTTTATGCCAGCATCTTTCCATTAGATTCAAATAAATTTCTGGGGTGTTTTTAGCAACTTCTGGTCTTAAACCATTGCATATGCGTGTCGCAAGATCAAGATCATGAGGGGTTTGATTAAAAGGAGGTATGCAAGTGGAAAATATACACATAATAATTCCAAAGCTATATATATCGGAGGCTTGTGTATATTTATCTCCTTTTAATACTTCAGGTGCAACAAATGGTAAAACACCATAAATTGCAGAAGCAATTCTGTTAGGCGGTCCATGTAACCCAGTGTCAGAAATTCTTATGTTGATGTCATCAGTAGCCGTTTCTATTAATAGATTTCCTCCATGTAAGTTGCCGTGATAAAGTCTACAATCATGGATTTGTTTAAGACCACTAGCAATTTTGTAAAGCATATTAACTTTCTTTTGCCAAATAAGTTCCTTCATAGTGTTTTTAAGGTATGTATACAAGTTTTCTTCACAAAGTCTCATAACGAACATATAACAACCAGTTTCAGGTTCACGAGTGATCCCAAAGCAATCAACCATCGATCCACCTTGAAGGCATTGATGATGTTTCAAGATCTAAATAAATAGAGTATCGAATATTGTTAAATATGCAATTTTGTTTTTTAAAAGATATTTTATAGAACATTCATACATTGTCTAAATATTCTTGATTTATATCATCAGAGTCATCTATCCTTTTTAAGGCACAATCTGTTGGACCACTTCTAGTCCAACTATTGTCTTCTTCATCCCAAGTCCACCTGGGACCATCTATCCATTTTCCCGAAAAAATGGTGCTAAAAGTGCCTTCGTATAGTAGCTTATCAATGTGTAGGTTTTCGGGTGGAATCCATTCTAGATATCCCCTACATTCATTTGGATTGAGTTGAGTACCTTGAATAAGCCGGTCGATGGAAAGATTACCACTTGTCCAGTTATTAAATCTCCGTTTAAACGCTTTACTCTGGCAAGCTGGACACCATCGACACTGGCTACTTTGGCGTGCTGTACACCACCGGCACTGGCTGCATGGCACACCACATTCATCACACTC